AAATCCTCGTCTGTCACTTGTGGAAAACCCATTATTTAACGCTAAATTGTTGGAGGCAGCGGTACAAGTAAAAACCGTCAGCAAAATATCACAACAAGAACAAATCCTCGATAAATCATCGAATTCGATAATTATAAACTTTACTCGCGATTAATTCAATCACTAACGCATGAATAGAAGTATCAATGCTGTGTTCAGTCAATTAATCAATCGAAGAGCTATTCCAAAGTAGCGTTAGGCAACTTCTTTTTTTTTCTTGCCTATTTAATTCATATTTGCATCTGATCATCGGATGCTCGTGCATCGCGCCGATGCTCATAGCAGGTCGCGTATAAAGCCGATCTATCCAATAAATAAAATCGCGACACTATGCAAGTGCACGCGCGCGCGCAACACGAAACGCGATACGAAAATTGGAATGAAAATGCGAAACGACGCGCACTGTGGCGGCGCAGCAGCACATTATTATCTGTAATCTTCGAATTCGTACGTGGGCTTATCCGTCACGTGTCGCGGCGTTGTCAGTAGTATAATATAGTTGAAGAGAGACTTTTTTCACTCATCAATCAATAACGAGTTCTTGAGACGCTTGCTGCAAGCCTCGATAGCCTTAACCTTCGTGTGATAAAAAAATGCAGCATTTGCCGATTTTTGCTCGAAAAATTATGTGCGTAAATCTTAATGCTGACACACGACTCTTCGATCGGCAGCTCTATTTATCGTTTTCCCCATTTTTCAACCTTCGATTTTTCGTAATCGTTTCGGGCAATTTTCCTCCATACAGAATCACATGCGGTGTACTTACCTCGTGTAAATAAGTATAGTATGCTAATTCAAAAATCATTCACTGATGGTACACTGCACCATTTTTTTTTTGCTCTCAAGAGAATGCAATTATAGTATGTAATTGTTGCATTTAATATTAAATTATCCAATTTGCAGATACTTTTGAAGCTTATAAGCTAATTGAGTTTTTCCTTGATTTTTCCCAGTGAACGCGAACCGAGCTTGTGCTCATCAAGGGAATGAAGATAAAACGACTTTAGTATTTGCAGATTTAACAAGAAAGTTCAAAACAAAGTGCATTAGAATGCTTACGAGGTAAAAAGCACTGATTCAGGTAAACCTGTTTCGCAGTACTTATTATACTCGTTTATTGTAATGGGCAAGCGAGTAAGATTTTAATTCGAGTCACCCGCAGTCATTCATTTGGATAAGTATTTTACGCTCGCAAGACGAAAATATTAATTCATAGTTATATGAGCATCAGATCCAATTCACAGATGAATTTTAAATTCAATCGCTCAAGCACTCAATGTTGTTTTTCGCTAAGAATCGAGTTGATTCGTCCAAGAACTTTTTTGAGTTTAACATTTAATAATAATACGTCATACGATTAAATATAAATATCGTAAAAATGCCCATGACTGAGATGTCTTACTCTTATTCAATTAAAGTATCAAGCAAAAATAATTTGAAAAAACGTCAACCAATTCATATTTAATCGATTGCTTTCTCTTATACAAAACATGAATGAAAAATAGCACAGTATTACTTACCACGAGGTTTGAAAATAAACCTTACACTTATCCCATCATCGCGACAGTTTAAGGCCTTTATACCCCTTAACAAAGAGCAGCATGAAGAGAAGATTTACGATAAGGACAGACATGAATTGCGTCATGAAGCATCAGTACGGCACAGTGCAGTTATAGAGTGCAGTGCACGGGGAACGTGTGATTTGTGTTTTTGTTTTTTTTTTAGTTTTAGTTTACTTTTTGAAGTCGGTTGCAGGGGCACATTCGGCGAGTCCAAAATCAGGATGTCGGTCAGGCCCAGAGTACGAGAGCGAGGTTGACAGTCCTGGTCTTTCCTCGACGCATCTTTTGCAGGCACCTCGAGCTTGCTGCATTGACCTGCAATGAATGACAGTTCATCGTTTAATATCGTCTACTATTCAGAAGTTGTAAGGCTTGATTAATTATTTTTTACAAATCAATCGCTCGGCCGCGTCGATCATTAATCAAAATTTTCTATTTAAATCGATTCTAAAATAAAACTCAGCGATGACTCTCGGTCAATCAGTGGAAATGTATTTCGGCCTCGATTAATTACAGAAAATCTAATAATATACAATAATGCTCAACACTTCATAAATTAAATTTTTTTCTATGCTCCGTCTCGCATACGTAAGAAGATATTTTTGAGCGATCCTTCGAAACAAAAAATGATTTTGTCTTTTTAAGGCAAATTAGCATGATCGATATTTGTTTATGAGCACCGATACCAGCGGCAAAAAATCGTTTGGAATCATTAAAAAAAAAAATTAGCTTTGGTGTGATGGCGGCGCTTTACTTGACGATTTCCGTCAATTGATTATGCAAGCATATCTCAGTTTTTCTTTTGTATGTCTTATCGACCACGATATCATCATAAATAACTAACAATGTTATTATTTCATCCTAGTTCCACAATATAGTAATGCAGCAGTATGCTAAATTTTCAATTTTTTTTTTTATTATTTTATCGCAGACGGAAAACAATATTGCTGACACGATCGCTAAGCTGTCAGAGAAATTTGCACACTTTTGATTATTCAAGTTGCATAATTATCATACGTGTAATTACTTTAAAAAAATCCGAGTTATGTTATGGCTTTTACATTAAAAAAAATGTGAGTAACCGCAAGCAGACAAGAAAGTGATAAAGAGAATCAGTCATTGGGAAGCTGTAATCTATTAACATGAATGAGTATGTAATCGTGAAAGGCATCACGTAGCAAATCACCGATGATGAAATAATCTGAAAAGTTCGACTAAATTTTCTGGTCAAAAAAATAAAGGAAAAAATCAACTATGTGAATTTTTCTTGTTGTCAATCTTTAATTCAAAATACCAGCTGAAACTGAACTTTAAAAAAAATCACTATGCTAAACCAGTTTCAAATGTGCGAATTTCGATATGGTGCAATTTGAATTTTTTGATAAAATAATATGTTACTCAAAATTCGCACCGAATGCGAGAAACAAGCTACCGTGTTTTACCGAAAATAAGCCGTACCCCAAAAATAAGCCTTGATCGAATTTTCGAGTCTCAAAAGAATATAGGGCGTATTCCTAAAATAAGGCGTACTTTTCAACATAATTTTTTATCAATATGTAAACAAGATTTAATGATTAATCTTGTAGTATTTTGCAAAGAAAAACGTTTAGAATATCGATTGGTCCAAAAATGATGCAGTAAATATTTAAGTCTAGCTATCAGAGTAGAATATGGTCATGGCGAGAATGACGTTTTAACAATTTACGAATAATATAAGTCATGTTCCGATGATAAGGCGTATGCGTTTTACAAAAAAAAATATAAGGCATGGCATATTTTCGGTAGAACACGGTAATTCTTTCAAAAATCTTATATTATCTTTTTATACGAGGATAACTAAAATTTGTCTCTTATCGTTTGTCCGACATTCAACTTTTAAGTTTCTCGAAACAAATAAATAACAGCTTATTATTAGAACAGCTCATTTTATCCAAAAAATATTCAAAATATACAAATGACAGTATAATTCAATGTAGACTTAAAGTAGCTAGGATACAAACTTGTTAAATCAGTAATTAGAATAATAAGTGGTAGAAAAGTTTTGTTACGCACGTGATATGTAAATGCGATATGATTTGTCTGCGACTTGCGACGCTTCTTCCAGTTTTTTTTTTTAATGTTTCAACTATTTGATCATCGATAAAAGTGCCTAGTGCGCCAAATCGCTTCAATAAGTTTTTAATCAAAGTGCTTTATGTGGTAGTTACATAGCGGAGGCGAGATACGTGCGTGCACGGATCATTTTTCAAAAAACGAAAAAAAATTTTCCGCAATTTTTTTTTTAATTGAATTTAATTACCGACCAAGCCCGTCTCATTTACCCATCATGCAAATTAAAAAAATGTATTACATAATAAAGAACTTACGCCTTCGTAAAAATCCAAAGCAGAGTAAATTCTTCATCTTGACGAATTCTCGTTACAGAATCTTCGTGGAAATCGACGGTGGCACAAGATCCAAATCCAAAGGTCGCCTCGATGGATTTTTCCGAGCTTTCGAAGCGATTCCACGAGCTTGAACGTGGCAAAGAAAGGAATTCACTGTAAAAAAGTGATCGGTAATGGCCGAGCCAGCTGTTGAATTCGTGCGACGAAGGCCTCGTCGCAACGATATATCTCTCTCGAGCCAAGAAGTGATAAGGTCGCGTGTACCGCGCGAGCCGCACCGCCACCAAGAAGAACTCGCAAACGAGAGCTTGTGTTGCTGTAACGGCTACAACTGACGACGAGCAAGACGTCGACTGACGGTTTATCTATTTGGGTCTCTCGGTATGCTGCTGTGTTGTTGGAGTACGAGGAGCGCCTCAGAGGGAGACGAGAGCCAATGATCATCGTCACTATACATTACGCGAGTACATACGTACACGAGTGTGCGTGTTGTATCGCGAGAGCCTCTCCTTTTTTTTTCGTCGTTTTTCTCGTTGCAACAGCTGCTGCTGCCGACGATGCCACCGCCGCAGCATGTGGTACACATCGGAAAAGTGGCTGCCCTTCGTGCAAGCTTGCTCGACCTACCCTGCAACTAGTTTTGCAATGCGTCCCTATTATGGCAGGACGAGTGCGTTTCGTTTGGAAATAGCCGCTGCTGCGTTCTGAACGGCAGCGGACCCGAGTCGGTGGGGAAAACATCACGTTTTTTGTCATTACCCACTATGCAACGATGAATTTTCAATTTCACTCGTGTTTTTTTCTGACAAAGCCAATTGCAACGCATAAAACCTAAATCGATATAAGCGTTTCTTTGTTTGCTTGTAAACTGTGATTTGCGCGACAATCAGAGAAGACGACGAAACCCCACTATTGCCGGGTAGACTTTTTTTATTGGTTTTTAATTTTCTATTTTTATCGACAATTTTTAAATTCGTTCAATTGATATCTTCGTAGTCGAGATCTTTTGTCATCATTTTTTCTTGGGCTTTTCGTCAACTTTTTCGTCTTCTTTTTCTTTAAGTTTTTCGTCTTCTTTTTCTTCAACTTTTTCTTCTTTCTTTAATGCCGGCACGTTTATATTAATCTCATCGATTTCCTTTTTCGTCAGCGCAAACTCTGAAATAAAGTCAAAAAGAATTGAAAAGGATACGATAAAGTATTTCTCATTCAAAGCAGTATGTCATCGCGAACAAAAATTTGAGGCAAAGCTGCATAAAATTAAATTTGACGAAAACAGACCGTAACTATATATTGATATGTGACGTTTGCGCCTTTTCACAAATTACTGTATACACGCGAACTATTTTCATAGCGTCTTATGCATGAAAAATATTTGCAAATAATCGACTCTTAAGTTGCTTCTTTGAAGACACACTTTGCGAAGTGTACTTTAAAACCCGTACGGTCAATATCCCATAATTATTTTCGTAAGACTCTTTTTGACATATAAATTGACGGAGTTTATCGCGTCTCGATATACATAAAAAAAAGGTAGCCACGAGTCGAGCATCTTTTACAGACCTCCTAAGTCTAGCAGGCTAATATCGGAGTAGGTAGACTCGCATTCCGAGTCTGATTCCTCTTGTCCAACCTGTTTTTCACATTTTCCGTCGGATTCTTTTGTACTTTTTTCCATTTGGGATCCTAGGGCCATCACGTAATCCAAGAAACCTTCAATAACAAAAGGATGAATTTATTGACCAGCTCTATCTCTGCGCGCGCGCTCACGCATCGAGTCGATACTTTCCTTATTGCGCGCGCGGGGAAAAATTATTCGCGATTTCGAATCACGATCCTGGTGCGCGCGCGTTTATTTTAAGCTCGCGCCACACGACGCCGCCGTAGCCGCGTGCCCTTCAACGCGGAAAATTCTCTTGGGCCTTTCGATATAATCGATTACGGCGGAAATTCAAATTGCAATATTTCCGAGCGAGTGCCCACGTCATCGCGGCTCACGTCAATGACTCTCGAGAGTCGCTCGCGCGCTCAGCGCAAATTATCGAAATTTGTGCAAAATATCAGTTGCACAACTAAAAATTATAAAAAATTCGACTACATCGTATGTGTGGAATGACTCAGGTCGACCGCTGCGTGCACATCGCGACGCGATGCCTGCACCGTGCCAGAGCGAGCGAGCGAGCGCGATCCGCGACATACACGCACGTGACCGCTGTGGATTGCAGGTGCATAGATATGAATATAAAAGTATAGATCAATGTATTTTCCTCTCTTTTCAAGAAGCACGTGCAACACCGTGGCGTAGCGACGTCGAATCGCACACAAGCGGATGTGTAAAATTGTTGCGAATTGTGGCCAAGCGCAGCTCGCTCGCTCACTCTGGCTCGTTCGCGCGCGGACCAGTTTCATTGACATTAATAAATTAATATTTTGCAAGCGGCACATCTTTCGCCGCGCGTAAACAGCGCACTAAGACGCACGGCGCTTTTTGGTATATACGTATTTTCAAATAAAAACAACAGATGTAATTCCGTCGGTGACGCTTACCGATGTTCCACATCTTTTCTAATGCTTGAATCTTTACTCTCGTATTCTGCTCCTCCATGAGTTGCTGCACTTTTTCCTCGTTCATCACGCACAATGTGTGCGACTTCCTGACTCTCTCTCTTATTGCCAAGGATGGTTTGATCTTGGCCATGACTTTGCTCGATCCGCACGTTTGACGCTTCAATTTCTTGTACTTACGCTTCGGACACGGGGTGCACGGAACGCACGGTGGATCCTTTTTCTTAGCTGTAGAAAAATTTTTCCCTCGATAATGTCGAGCAGCGATGATACGTGGAGATAATCAACGAACCTTTGCAATAATTTGCGGGGACGGTTGATCCACCGCACCTGGAGGGTTTGTTACATCCACCCCTTTCACATCCCATTTTGAGTCACGTGTCTCGAGTTTCCTGAAGAATGAACGTACGTTTATGAATTCTCAGCTAGTTGTTTCGCGTCCACTATTTTCTAAAATAGAAAGTCAAAGAATCATTAAATGTATACTTGTCATTTTTAAAATGCTCAGTAGTTAATTTCATTTAAAGTAAACTAATTGTTCACGAGGAAATTAAATTTCATTCGATGTTCAAACAATAGCTATCGAAACCCTTGAAAAATCGAGGATATCTATTTTTGACGACGAGCTTTCTACATATGTGCATTCATCAATATTATGCGAATCGATAAACATTATAGCGTAACGTTTCTTATCGTCTGTCGACGCAATGAAAACACGAAGATTTCGTTGTTTGTTGTTATAAAATTAATAATTTTGCCCACGTTGTCACAAACGTGACTCTCTCGATCGTAATGTATGCATGTGACGAGAGAATTTTTTAATCGTACATGCCATTATTTTTATATAGTTTTTAATCTGCAGACTTTTTAAAATTTTCTGGTGGCTAATTCCTCCGCATAAAAAGATTACAGATAGTGTGACTTTAATGATTGCGTACTTTCACTCGATAATCGTTTCAATGTCAGTTTTACGAGTCAATCATTGGGGCGTGCAACTTACAAAAAAATTATCATCATGAATTAAAAAGTCAGATAATTTTAGCGTCACAGATTTGTAAATTGTACAAGATTCGTTAAATTTCGATTTACTACTAAAGAAAATAAACCTTACAATGTGACTTTTTAGAGTGAAAATTGTTAATTCACGGAAAATCAGCAAGTGTAAACCAAGTCATCAATTTCCACTGACATTTACGCAGTTGCATTGAATATTTCAAACACAATGTTATCTTTTCTTCCTATTTGGTCAATCAGCGTTGATAAGGTCAACGCAACATTTTCAGCAATTTTTTTTCCAGAAATTCCTGTGCTTGCACAAGGCAAAAATTATTTCAATCGATTCTCAGTAGGAAAAAACAAATTCCAGTACCACCATTATCAATAACTGTAAACGAAAAGTACGCTATAGAGAGATCTAAAAATAAACTCGTATAAGATCGTCAATGAATAAAGAGAATATTTCCATTTGCTCCACGCTATACACGGGAAGACACGTGTTGACTGCAGCCTCGATAAATCAAGCCGCCTTTAATAATATAATATGTATGTTATAAACAGGCCGACTCGTGCTTTTTCCAGTATGCATCGTTACATATTCCGCCCTGCACTTGTGACAGAGTATGGAAATTATTGCCGGCGAGTTTTGCTAATGAAAAGCATCCTTCCGCGAAATTCCTCGATGGCTCGCACAACAATAAATATTTGTTTACCTTACGATCTTTTCCATCCAAAAGTGAAAATTTCCGCGATATTTATAGGTATGGAACTAACCTCAGGCTGGAACGAACTTGTTTTACAACTCAATTCCTTACTATTGATGCTTCTTCTTGTACCTTAAGATGAGAAATTTTTTTCTTTTTACGCGCTAAATGATCAAATTTTGATATTAAATAGTTATGAAAAAACAGTAATAAAATTTAATCGAAAAATTACAATATTCCAACATTTTTCTGAATTTCGAAACGTGTTGCCAAGATAATGACTTTGCGAATGAAGTTGGTCACATGTTTTACTATGATTATTTATATTTAGGTTAAATTCTAGTCACTTTCAACTTCGCTTTGAAGCGTGAGTTAGTTTCAAACTTTTGGACGATGAGCAAAATTTTTGTTGACGTAGCCATTATTTTCGCAGAATTATTTAGATGTTTAACTATAATATTCACAGGAACGAGTGCTTAAATAATAAATCCCTAAAAAAATTATAAATTTTCAAAAAAAAATTGGTAAGTTTCTCGAGTAATTGTAATATATCAAATCATTTATTTATCAATCATTGTCGAAATAATTAGAATAAAGCCGATAAATCATGGGTAAGAAAAAGTCAGAGTCAGAAGGGGCACAAAAAAAGGCAAAAGATGAGCCAAGAAAGTCAAAAGTCGACCAAAGAAAGTCCATAAGCGAAAAGATCGAGCGTCTGTGCAAGTGCAAGAAAATCTTATCGCTGCACGACATGCACGATTTCGGTAACTTGGCCAAGTACCCGCCGGCCACTCCGACCCCCGCCATACAGCAACCATGCGACGAATGCAAAGACGAGGTCCACGCGACGTACGCGAAACTGCACAAGGCGCTGGCCATACCCTACGACCCGCACACGTTCGTTACGGTCAAGACTGATTTGTCGGCATGCCCGAAGTTCGAAATTCGTGCCGGTACCAAGCACATGAAATCGGAAAAATACTCGGTTTTGTCGTGTGGCTTTCAGGTGAGTTTGCTCGTTTCTGTTTTTATAAAATTACATCGTGTATAAAAATGTCACTCGAAACCCGTGCTCGCTCTACCCAACAGGGCGTGGCTATCGCGGGAGCGGCGATCGCGACGTCGCACCACATGAAGCCCACTTGTTGGAACAGCGAGGTAATCGATCAAGTGCTCGACGACGGCGATCTTTGGTTCTGCGAGTCGTACAAAGACATCAAGACCAGCGACAGGCGTCGCGTGACTCTGCGCGATCTCCGGGTCTCTCTCAACGTGCAGAACGAGCATCAGGTCACGCTGGACGTGGGCGACCCGGTCTACACCGGTACGTTTCGCTCCGAGAACATGACGATCATGCACGTGGCTCGGGCTCTGCTGCTCTTCTTCGACAACTACAACTCCGCCGTGCTGACGTCCTCGGTTCTGAACGTCGCCATGTGGCGAACCGGCAACAAGTACAACTTCTTCGATGGCCAGGCTCGCTGCGTCAACGGCGAGGTGATCGCGAAGCCAAACGAAGACGGAGACAGCGCCAAGCTGATCATCGTCGATAGCGTCGACGCTCTTCTGCACTTCATACTGGAGAAGAGCAACGTTAATAACGAGTCCTTTGTCATATACTCGGTCAGGGTCGGCAAATCTGAACCGTTGGCCTCTTTGCCGACCGAGGAAGAATTGAAGGAAATGGATAAACCGATGATTCGAACCGACGGCTTTGTTGTTCGTGAGAAGTATCGTGCGGTACTGCAAGGCACCTATCACCTGGAGCACCACTTCATAGTCGAAGAGCTGCGCACTCGAAGCCACTTGACCTTCGCCCTGGGAGCTCTGATATACACGAAGCTCGTGCAAACTAGAAATTGGACCAAGACCCTGCTCGATTTGATCTTGAATCAATCCAACATCTATCTGATCGATTTGGCGAGGGCACTCGATAAGCGACTCGACGAGACTTTTCAACTGACCGTCGACGAGCTGCTCGGCGACGTCATTCTCGGCGTTTGCACGGCCAAGATCAAGGTCGAGGAGAACGTCGTGCCCGGCCAGACGAAGGGAAAAGTCACCATCGACGTTGGTATCAGAACTTTTTTCGAGACGTACACTCACGGAGTGATCGAGCTGAAAGGCATCTTCTACGCCGTTTGGCGAGTGAATCATAAATACTACTTGCTCGATCCTTTCGCTTGCGACGAGAACGGCTTCAGAGTCGATCCGAACGACGAAGAGAGCCAGGAAAAATACGAGACAGCCTCCGCTTGCGTCACCATGAACTCGTCCCTCGATCAACTCCTCGAAGTACTCATGAAAAATAACGACATTAAAGACAAAGATCCGTTTGTCATTCACGGAATCACTGTGCTATATATCACGGTCGGGGACGGTTCCAACGATGAGGTGATATATCGCGACCCGAACACCAAACGACGTCCAGAACCGGAGGAAGAAGAAGAACCGGAAATCACCGAATGCGAAATCGTCGACACGGATCCCAAGCCGCGACCCCAAGAAGGTCTCACGACCGAAGAAGTAATTCAATATCCCGATCTAATGGAGCGAGTCGACAAATTTATAACGTCCTATGAGGAGACCGTGAGCTCGGAGCTCGTGAAAATCAAAGACTATAAAATAGTAAATCCCAATAGGATAATACTCAGAGGCACTAAAAATCTCTCGGATAAGGATTTCAAGCCTGAGAATCAAGGACAACAGGGTATTATAACGGCAATAACGGCTGTCGCCCAGGGTAGACTGTCGTGCACAACTAAATGGGATCCTGCCGTGATAGATCAAATTATCGTCAGCTCGAACGATATTTACGGTCAATTGGTTGATTACATCGAAACTTATGTAGATTTCGACGAGATGCGACTCTCGATGGTTCCAAAAATTTTTGAGTATCAAGAGAAGCAATTTCACTTCGGCAAGCGAAGCCGAGTTCTCCAGGGACAATCCAATCCTCTAGTAAATCTCGGCGAGGCCTTGGAGCGATATTTCGCGCTTTACGATCAGTTGATCCTTGAGAACAAAAAACATCATTACTGTATATGGAAACGAGCAGATAAATATGGCCTTTTCAATCCTTACGGTTGTGATGAAGAGGGATGGCAAAATATAACCATGCCAGCTGGCTTGGTCATCGTTGATAGCATCGTCGAACTCGTTAACGTGCTCTACGGAACTTTGGACTATTATGAAAATGATTTTATCATACATTATTTTGATTTAATTCAGAAATCAGAGGACGACGATAAAGAAGTGGAGATGCCCAAAGTCAAGCCTTTCGGGAAATTTATCACTAAATTTTTGCCTCTGACTAATGATGATTTAGCCGACATAAATCCTGAAGAGGGAGTAGATGATGACGATTCTGTGTTTATATTGTTTGACGAGAATGACGAGGGTCAAAGCAAGAAAGGCAGGTGTAGAAGGATTCGGAAAAAAGCAAATGATGCCGGAGGTTTGGCTGCTCTGTTGGATTCGGAAAAAGAAGAACCGAAACAACCTGACCCGCCACTGCGGTTAAATCTGGCACTGGTCACTGGAATGGTAAAAGTCGAGCCTCCAGTAGACGAGGAGGAAATATACAAGAAAAATCTCGAAACTTATTATGAAAAGTTAAAGTACGATCATCCACCGCCTTTTACCACACCGCCTAAAAAGACTGTGTGCAACCTCCTGCGCTCAAAATTAGCCTCTAAGTCTGCGCACTCTTTGCTCTCGAGGTTCTCTATTGACTCGAAATTATCTGTCAAGGAAAAAATCGATTCGGATGAAGTTGCCACCATAAAATCAACCGACGAAGTCAACAAAACGAGTCTAATAACTCTTCCACCAGAAAAATTCTTCTATTCTAATCGTTTACCAAACGGTATGACGCCAATAAGGGCTGTAGACGACATGTTTATAAAGAACGAAATTGTGGAAGATAAAAAGGCCGAAGAGTGCCAATTAAAGCGGAGGGAAAAAGAAATTATAATGGTGCCCGAGGAAGAAAGGCCTAGCATATTGCCGATCATCATTCCCTTGGGTCCTGTCATAAGGACGCCAATATTCATTCGCACTCCAAAAGATTGTCCAGATAAAATTATCCGAGAGTGTCCAATATCTGCAGCAGAAAGAAGAGATGTCGTCATGAGGAAATTAGCCTGCGGTACCGAAAACCTTTTGCTTGAAATAATGGCTCCTGGTTTCAATTCTTTACTCTGCGAAGTGAGTTTATTTTTTATTACCGTACAAAAAATAAATTACTTAAAGTTCTGAACATTAATGTGTCATTCAATGATTTCAGGAAAAGGAGCGCGAGGGACCTTGTGTACAGCAAGCTATAGCTATCAAGCAAGAAGCTGGGGAAGTTGTCAAACAAGAGGCTGACGAAGTTACGGTTAAACAAGAACCTGGCGCAGATTCAGTCAAGCAAGAACCCGGTGCAGCTTCACTCAAGCAAGAACCCGGTGCAGCTTCACTCAAGCAAGAACCCGGCGCAGCTTCACTCAAACAAGAACCCGGCGTATCTTCGGTCAAACAAGAACCTGACGTAAAAACGAAACAAAAATCTGGTGCAACTGTAAAACAAGAACCTGGCACAACACAGGTCAAGCAAGAACCCGGCACAACACAGATCAAGCAAGAGCCCGGTACAATCGCTGTTAAACAAGAGCCCGGTGAAACTGACGTCAAGCAAGAACCCGAAGAACAAATTTCAACTACACGACTAGCATTAATACTGAGATCCGAGTTTAGCGGTTTCGTAAAAACCAATGATCCAACCATTGGAATAATCAAGGCGGGCATGAGCCTTCAAGACCGAGAATCCTCCGATGTCACTCACTACAAAGATTGTTATTACGCCTCGATGTTTTGCATCATCGCCAAGATCAGCAAGAGCGTCGACAAATTCAATCGAAAAATCTTGGATTACATAATCGCTTCGGCTAAGAAAATCGGCGACGCTATCGGTGGCTTGAAGGTCATTCAGACACGAACATTCCATAACGCCATCTTGATGCAAAGCAAGTGCAACCTCATAATCAGCGAGATTCGCTACGCCGATCCGGAAAACAGTGAATACGACAAATTACCCATCGTGCTCTGCGAATTCTTCAGCAAGCATCAAACTGGCATAATTAGTTTTCTAAATGCGTCCTACGCTTTTTGGTTGGCCGACGGCGTCTACTATCTGTTTGACCCGTACGGTTGTGACGAAAACGGCTGCGCCAATCCGGCAGGCGCAGCCTGCGTTATGCGCTGCCGCAGCAACGAGGCATTTGTTGCGAGGCTAGAGAGTAATGAAGGCAAATTTGCCAATCAGCCCTTCAGGTTACATTCGATCGCCATATCTCATTACGAACGGATCAAGTCACCCAAGAAACGTAAGGTCAAAAAATGCAAGGTCAAAAAGCCTTGTCCACAACCATGTCCACAACCAACGCCGATAATTGAGGAACCAGAAGAGTGCAAACCAATCATTGAAGAACCAGATGAAGTCATTATCAAGCCTCCTCTTATCGAAAAAATAGATTGGCTCACATACGATAAAATCGAGCCTCCGCAAAATTGCGCGATTTCTGGTTTTCAAGCGATTCCGAATTACCACGCTTCGGCGTTGGAGGTAGACGTTTTAGAAAATGACCCTACCAGGCCGATATTGGGACCTATGCGAGAGAACGAGAAAAAGGAGATGGTCCGCATGAATACCTACGATCGCGAGTTTCACGAAAGAACCTTCCTGGCGGAGCCCATGTCTCTCTGCATCATGGCCTGGGCTCAGATCTACGACCCGGCCATCTGGAGCATTCAGACCGTCAAAGGTCTTTACGAGGCCTGCAAGGAGTACTCGGCGGACAGTCTGTTTGCCGCGGACGACACCAGCGTCAACGAAATGTACGACGATCTTCTGACCGAGTTCAATATCGCCAACTACACCTTCAGAGTTGTCTTCGCGCCACTGCACACTGGCACTTTGTACGCGACCTCGGGCTGGAATTTAGCGGTATCGCTGCAGCGGATTTTCGACTCTCCAATTTATACAGGAGCTGTTCTGTGTTGCGAGGAAAAATTTTATGGTGTTATGAAGAGAGGTAGAAGATATTACGCTTGGTGGCTAGTCAAGTGGACCAAGAGCATCAGGATAATTGTTACTGAAGACCTGAAAGATTATTTAAAACTTCTTGTCAAGGTAAAGTAAACGATGTCAGTCCATTTATTCAAATATCAAGTTCATTTCAACTATTTTTATTGTTGCAGGATTTGGATAAAAATTCTGCTGCTGAGTTTTCCATGAGAATCGTAACGATGTCATACGCCGTGATGGTTGGACCAAATTGCGGTGACGTGGATGGACTTCACCAGTCCATGATGCCGACGGATTCCATTCCTCAAGTTTATCGCAAAAATCCCGAAGATTACGACCCGAAGGACATTTTCAAGCCGATCGATAAAGATCATGCGACCACCTTTGTGCGCGGCTCCGTCGCTCTCAATGAGAGAGACAAAGTTACCGAGCCCACGGTCAAACGGTGCTATTTCGTTGCCTTGCTGGCTGTGCTGATGAAAAGGGATCTCATTCAAAATCCGATACCCGCAATGGTCGACAAAATTGTGGAGCTCGGCGAAGCCATTTACAAATTGATGCCAGAACCGAAGTATCACACGAGTCATATTTTGAAAGACGCCAACTTGATGAATCGCACATTCGAATTTTGCGATGTCGCGTACGGGCCGATCAGGCTTCAAAACGAGAAAGACCCCGGTATGAAAGATTTCTTTACTGTCGTTAGAACGGCCTTGAAAGAATACTTTGAAGAGAGAACCAGCGGCATTATTCATTTCACCAACTGTTGTTACGGATTTTGGTACTCGGAAGCGACTGAATGTTATTATTACCTTGACCCGTATCAATGCAACGAAAAGGGACGAAGAGTCGAAATCTGCGGCAAAAGTTGTTTTTGTGTATTCTCCACAGTTTGTGATATGGTCCATCAAATGTGCGCCAACAAATCCCCAGAAACTAGTGGCTTTTTCATACATGAAATTCACGTCGAGGCAGTCAATGCATTGAACAACGATCAATTTGTGGAAGATCCAATTTGGGCATACTTAGATTATCATTGGAGCCAACGACACTGTCCCCGGCCCAGATCATCGAAAAAGAAGCCAGGTGTAATTGAGAAAGCGAAGATACCTATTTGGAAAGCCTACGTTGTCGAAGTGCCGAACATGATTTACTCTGTGTGGGGTTCGATTGGCACTTTTGATCCGCAATTCGAATGTCGAGCTGGCAAAAATCAAGCGGCCATTGTCGTTTGCGCTTTCGCAGTGCGCAATTTGTGTCATCCCGCTGAATGGACTGGCGCTACACTCGACTCTATAGTCCTTGCCGGTGATACTTATTACAAGGAGAGTAAAAATTCTGACACCAAGTGTCAGAACAGATTCCTTCTATCACAATCCTTGAAAATAACGCCATTCCAATGGGACATCGAATTTCTCCCGGGTATCTGCGGAGTGCTGTACGGAGAGAAAAATAAACGAAGTCTCAGTGAAGCTGTAACACTTGGTTTAAAGAGACAGCCTCAGCTGCTGCTCAAGTGCGGTAAGAAATTTGTGGGCATTCTACAAACTACAGATGGTTATTATGCGGTCGATTCATCTTGGACGGGACCACCATTGTTCCGTAAAAATCACGGAGCCATTTACGCGATTCGATGCAAAAATACCAATATTTTGATTTATGTTTTGACCAAAATGCTCAATACGAATCAAAAGGTGCGTCTTACGGTAACTCCATTAAAAATGGACTACAAGCAAGAAGTTGTTGCTTGCAAATCAACGATGCCAAAAACTAGAATGATTTTAACGAGACCAATGAAGCCTGCTCCAGGAAGGACTATTGAACATGATAGTCTTGTGTCCGGCAGTGTGGCTGTACCGGAACAAGATTCTTATCTCATGTACAATAGAAATTTGAAATTAGGATTGGCACATGGTCATACGTTTGAGATGGAAGGAATGAAAGTTGAAGGCGGCTGTAAATCTAAAAGATTAAAGAAGACTTGTGGAAGGAAGAGAATAGAACCAGAAGTAGATGGACCATACGACGAAGGTCCCAGTATATTGTACCGAAAAGTTAGCCTGCCGAAACAATTGGATCTCGCCAAGTATGCCCTCGAGGAAGCTGCGGCGCTTAAAAGGCAAACTAGCTTATGCCCAGAGATAATATCTACTTTATCAGAAAATTATACTGTGGACGTGATACCTGGAGTCGCTGGAATGGCCCAAGTATGTTCAAAAGTTTCATCAAAAGGAACATGTCCTTTAATGGACCAACCCGATAAACTCAAACCTGATCGTGATTGTGCTTCCGGAATCGATCATTATGGACCAATTGGTTGGCAAGATGTAGAAGAAATAGACTTAACTAACAGTTTCATTGCTGACAAGACTCGACGGGAATTTAAAAAATTCAATCAAGAACTTAGCAAAGATTTATACAAAGAGGAAAAGCAAATGACTGAACAAGAATATAATAATAGGATGGATATGTTGGAACTTACATCAACTTCAAATTCTGACTGCAATAAAACCTCTGCTCCTTGTACGCAAAAACAACCTAAATAAACTACATAAGAAAAGAATAAAATACAAATTTTACAATACAATTGTTTTATGATTTATTATTGAAAAAATTTTACAAGTTTATACTTATGATTATTTTATGAAAAATACATTACTCAAATTATTACTTATATTTCTCAAGCACTACAACATACATATCATTGCATACTTTAAAAATGTACAAATATCAGCATATCTTGCAAGTAATAATCAAATGAATCAGATTACTGTCTTTTAAATTACAGAATCGTACATTTAATAAAACAAAAAGATAATGTAGTACATATAGATTTTACTACTCTAATTAATATTATATATTAAAGCACTGATTATAAATACATTATAATCCACAAAAGCAATAAAAGAGTCGTAACGTTTAAAAAAATTCGATGAACTTACTATAGTAATTGTACACTTACATATTATTCATTTGTCAAAAGTTTATTTTTTTAATTTTATATATCAATTCACATCTAAGATTTGGTAGAGTGATTAATTTAATTAAATTACTTGAATATTGTACTTGTACGTTAGCTTAATTTTCGATAGCAAATTAAAAAATACTTATTAAAATATATAAGTATCATTGCATTAGTTCTATCCGTTAAAAAATTACACTTTCATTTTGTTGAAATCGAAAGTAAATAGTACATTGAATATCATAAAAGAAAAATAAACTTTTTTAATTCATAAAAACAAAAAAATTCAAAAATCTAAACAAAATATTTCTCAATGCTTACACGTTCAAAGCATTAAAAAAATATTTATTACAACCTTTAAGTACTTGAACATTTTCTATGAATTTGTGCGTAATGCGCTTTGTGCGTTCGGCAATGATAGAGCTTGACCTTCTTCAATTGTTTGATAAACTTTTAAAACGAAATTATTTAATGTTATTATTTTATTTAGTTTCAAGTATGAAAAATAGGCACCATAACTAACTAAATTATTTTACCAAATGTTTCCTAGAACATTGGGTAATATACTTGATACTATCATTTGACTTAGTATGAGTCATTTGAGTGTTTGTAAAGTAAATATATAAAGTATTAAAAATAATTTTCAGATATAGCGCCATGAAAACATTAAATTTTATGAAGAGGAAATCAATATTTTTAGGAATTTTATCGTTATGTAACCTTTAAACTTGCATATTTTTATTGTGATTTTTTGTAGGATCAGAAATATATGATAAGTTCTTTGGATGCCTTTGTTATCGATACAAATTTTTCCTGCATTTATTCGCTCTTGAAAATGAATAATTTACGATAGTAACATGGCATCAGAAGTATTAAATGGTTTCACACTAAATTACAAAAAATTAAATAAGCACTGTATGCGTGACTTTTTACATTCCATCACATTTTTACGATTTAGAAGTAGTGCAAGTACTAAACTGCTAGCCCTACATGATAAAACAAAATTATTCGCAATTACGCATCTTCATTTTTGTGCTTGCACCACATTAAAACTGGTCATAAAACAATTTTTGCTTGTCATAATACTTTTTAATTTAACCGTTCCTTGATAAAATAATATTCTTCAAAAAGTTGTTGAAACGTTTAAAAGTACTGTTACTTCAAAAGCAGACATTTACGTAAAAATTTTCATCGGGAATTAAGATGATACATGTTTTTTATTTTTTAATTTAAATGTCAAAGTATGTAGAAATTCGAATAAAAGTGGGACATAAGTCTTTAAATAAATTGAAATCTAAATAAAAACGGGTTGTGCGGTCTCGTAAGGATCGCGGAAGGTAAAGAACGTATATCACTTGTCAGGCGTTGGGTGGCTCCCGTCAGTTTTGCTGTAGACAATCTCAGCGTATTCGGTTTTCTCATCAGTAAGACGTCTCGCGGTGTTTTGTTGCTGTTGAGCCAAGTCCAGTTCGGCATACACAATACCTCCCTCGTGGGTTCCAGATGTAGGGGTTTCAGCAGCAGTGGTTGTTTCGCTTGTTGGTGCCTGCAAGTACCCGAATACAATAAAATTGATTGTGTCACATTTTTTTATTGTAATTATTCATATTATGTAATTTTCAAAGTAGACGAATTGAACCTAAGGGAGTCTTCTTTTTTACGGAGTCTTTATGTACAAAAATATACAAAAGATTCCTGGTTTCGCGAATCTTCTATTTGATTATCTGAGATCAGAATGCAAATATACCGTCAATTTGAATAGGACAGGATACAATTTTCAAATTCTGAGGGAAATAGATGAAGCGTTATTAGTAAAATTTAATTACTTTTTCATCTTCCATTGTAACGACGGTGCGCACTGTGTCTGTATCGGCTCCAGATACCTTATCTTTGTTGCGTTTGAAAAGCTGCGAAAGGTTGATTTTTGGCCTAAGGCGACTGCTATTCTTCGTAGTATCTACTTCTGTCCTCGAGTAACGCCCAGTACTTTCTGTATCACTTCTACAGATGAAATGAAAAATTATATTTTAAAATTGTAGTAATAAAATAAAATGTGAGTGAGTTAAATGTATCAACAAAATAATGTATTGAGTGTGTCCCGTGAAATGTTTGATTTTGACTAAATGTTAAAAAATCCACCTTAACTCTCATACAAAACATCATCTCTTAATAAGTTCAGAATTTACTAAATTTCAGATATTTTAATATAATATTTAATATTATAAATGATTTTTTCAAAAATTATCATGTGATTAGTGTATGGAGTTATAATTAATATACTTGGAATGGTGTGAAAAAGTATTTCTTAATTCTTTTACCTGATCGTAAAAATTGTTAATTTAAAAATGTTTAATTTGTTCAAATGTCAAACCCATTAAATAAAAATGTATGTCTTGGTTTAGTTTTAATAATTAAAATTACTATAATTTCTAAATAAATTATCAACACACGAGGCATTAATAAATTACAAAATCAATTCAACTAAGATGAAAACAGATTTCAAGCCCAGAAGCAGAAAGCAAGAGAATACAAAGAGAAAATAAATTTGAAAAGCATCGAATTGATAATCTAATAGCACATGACACTTCATTATTGCTAATAATTAGTCTGCAAGTAAAGAAATTTCTTTTATTTATCGTATAACCAGAGAACTTGTTTCATAAAACCGAAATATTATGAATTACGATGTTATAAAGCGAATGAAATATGACGAAATTAATAAAAAAGTATAGTATACGCTTCTTGCCTTCGCGGACTGGCATCGTCTGTTTTTGTGGGTCGGACAAAGCGACGAAGTAGTATTATGCTCTCCGCCGGTTCTGACACGTCTCTGCAAATGTGCGAGTCATGCAAACAAATCATAAACAATCTACATTTTTTCTTTCACTAGCTTCTATTTTGTGCTAAAATTTGATAACTAAAATACCGATTTTAAGAAATCTCTATACCTCAAATGATATGCCTTTAATGGCTAGTATATGAAAATTAGCTAGAAAAAAATAGCTTTAAATCAGACAAAAGAAAGTTTTTGTTTAGTTGAAGATTTTTAAATAATCACTTTGTTAAATTATTCAAAATTAGTTTTTATGGCTTTCAGTTCAGGGTATAGAAAACTCTTAATTGTATTACAATAAAAATTAATGAATAAAAATTCAACACGCACATGTTAATACCAAACAAAATTACTTCTGATTGACAATAAAAAAAGGAAAATCTACAAAATATTAGTAACAAGAGTTGCATAGAGAATAACTAATTGTAGTTTAAGTAAGAATTACTTACGATTCTCCGATGTTTCTTTTTGCTGAATCATCTGAAATAAATATGATGAGAAGGTTTTAATCATTTTCGTTTATTCCCATGAAAAATCAAAGTAAAATAAATTTTGAAAAAATGCTTAATAGACCTATTTTCTAATCTAAAAACTAGATTTAATGAAATAATAATAATAAATTTGGGGTGTAAGTCATAACATAAATGAAGTGAATATTTAAAAAAATGTAAATCTTTATAAAATTGAATGATATTTAAAATAATCACTAATATCCTAATGTATTCATTAAAATTTTAATTTTTTAAATCAAATGATAAATTAAATCTGATGCTTCAAAGGATATAAGGGAATATTTAATTTTTTTTCTAATTCAACCTTTTCTCATTTAAAACAAATGTTTTATTTTAAAAATCATATATTTGTTAAATATAATGCTATAGCGATTAATGAACTTATAATTAATATTACGTACAGCATTCGTATGTATATTTTTTTACTTAAATACTCAATCATTTTTATCGTAACCCTCTTTTTTACAATTCTGTCTTCAAAACAATGTTTACTATACAAGTTCAGGATAAACTTTTTATTTTCGTTTTCTATCCGATTTTATTTTAGCATAAGCATGAGTTTTTAGCATTCAGTGTCGTAACATTTATTTTTCTTAATTATTGTGAATCAGAATCATAATCATGATTTGAAAACTAACACTAAAAAGTTTAATTCATTTTTAACCAAAATACTTTAAGAAGCGTTTTCAAATTAATTTTTTTGTGGTTAATTACTGTATGTCTACTAGTATATGAATTTAAAAAATTGATTTAAAGATACAAAAAGTATAAAATATCGAAAAGTAGAAAATGGCATATTTATTCATTAATTTCTTCTACTAATATTCGTCAGTAATTTTGTTATAAATCTTATGTATGTTTCAGAAAACGCCAAGTCTGAACAGTAATAACAGTTGTTTTTATTTTATCTATCGTTGTAACATCTAAACCTTAATTATTAACATAAATATATATTTATATATGTAAAGGTTTACTTCATTGTACGGCGAACCATTACGCCGTCATCCAAATTTATAATTTTCATTATTTGTATCATTTCATCTGGTATTTGACACGCGTGAAACATAAACAATAATGCTGATAAGATTATGATAAATAAAACATGTTCATCGAAAAGTTGGAGTAACTAATATTAAAATGTACTACGAAGAACATTTGTACAATTAAAAACACGTGACTTGTATAGGAGTTCCTTAAATTATAGACTTATATATTTTCACTTAAATTCGTGTTATTTTCCCCTCCGCTCGAGACATTATTCTTGAACACGCATCGAGCGTTTTGTGTATTATTAATACTTTGCATTGAAGATCTCTTTTCATTACTTTTTTTAACATTATGATCACATATTTGAAACGCATAATGTATTGTTCCGTACACACAAAACCACTTATGTCGACCTGGAGACATAATACGATAATATGGAAAACAAACATACTTGAAATTTAAAAATAAGCTATAATATGAACTTAACAATGACAAATTTTTAATAGCCTTATTTTTACTTTTTTTAATTTTTATATCTTCATCTTTTTTTCATTATTTGTTGTGACTTTCAAAATATATATTTTACGTTTTAATGTCAATCGTACGGATTTTAAATCAATAATTCGTTTTTCGAATTTCAGCAAAACTTTCAAAAAAATTTTTTCTAATTTACAGTAGGGGGAAAAATATGTTTCCCAAGTGCTTCATGTATCGTATTACATGTTATCCTTTTCATTGCATAGTTTCACTGCTTGCAATTTTCAATAGCAGTAGTTAACTGATAAAATGACATAAATACGAAAAATGTACTGCAACAATACCATAGCATGGTTCTGGTCTGTACATCTTTTCATAGTCCAAGTTAGTCTATTGTATGTATTGTAACTTCAACAGTTGTTGTTAAAATTACTTCTCTCATTCCTTAAATTTCTCCAACTTTGAAAAGTATTGAATAGAAGAGTAAATCAGCCGTATAATTATGACGTTTTTAGCTATGGGAAAATTTAAAAATAGTGAATTGTGATTGGTATATTTAAGATTCTTAAAAGTTGCCATAACTATTCTAGAATTGTAAACATCAAGTTAACTTTATTTTGACATTTATATCATTCTGTTTACCCTACTAAACATTATTACGATAAATGTTATTTAAGAACGACGATTCAGCAACTAGTACGTAAATCCACAGAATAGTTGCTACATTTGCTTTTGCTCATTTGCAAATTGAATGCATTAAATACATTACTTCAATATAATTTTTAGTGTAATGTTTAATTTCATCATAGTATATATAATATATATATATATATATATTTATATATTTATATTTATAATATGTATATTCATATATCTTTCTTTTATTTTCATTGTATATACATCATGCATATGATGAAATTAACCGTTGATCAATGATACATAGAATTATTTTGCTGGATGAGAAATATAAAAATGTATCGATCATGCTGCAAATGAAAACTTTAATTTACTTCTTTTCTTCGGTTAAGTTTTGTGTTAAATTTATAAAAGTTAACAATTTTTGCACGTCACCTTTAAATTGTTTTCTAAAAAGGAATTGGGGAACATGAAGTGTCTCACTTGATCATCGAAAGTATTTTAAACTCAAATTTCTTTATTATTACAAATGGTCATTATTTGTTCATTCTTTTTGAAAAAGAAGTTTACAAACGTTAAATTATGAGTAAATTTCAGTATTAAAAAGTTTTACAATCTCATATGAAGGCAGTTATTCCAGTTCGTATTTCACCAAAAAATAATTACTTATTAATGAATTTTATGCTTTGACGTATTATAAAACCAGATAACTTAAAACAACTGCTCTCATTTATTCATGAGTAAATAAATCAACAATACACGCACATAGCTATTGATACGTGGTACTTGATACATATAAATTAGTAAATCACACAACACATCTGTAAAATTACCAACTTAATTGTCATTGCATAAAAAGCAATAGTTTCATACATAAAATAATGTTTTAACATAATTTTCAAAAACGTTTCATCAATACTTCATTAAAGAGTATTTGATGATACTAAATATTGTTATTTAGATAATTGCAAGCGATGAAACATTATACATTTGAAATTTTCAAAAAGAATCGCAAATACTCCCAGAGTAAGTGTAACAATAGATGCATGTTATATAATCTGTAGAATGTATCTTATTTTCATATTTTAGTTAACTCACGTTAATCATAAAATATCGGTCAATTCAAAATCTTAGCTTTTTTAAATAATCTATATGAGATTTTCTTTCGATTACATGCTTTTTTCTTAAATAAGTGAGATGTACGACATGCTTAACAATAGACTAATGCGCTGGAATGCATGTTACTAACAGTTATTAGAAATTTGTATTATAGGATTGTTCTATATTTAATTATTTAAGCTATGTCTTAAGCTATATACAAACTCACGTAGAAATAACGAAGTAACGCTCGTGCTTCTTTCATACTAATACACTGACGCGCAAAGTGTACGGATAAAAATAGAAAAATGAAAACGAATAATCAATCCACCACACTCGCATTGTAAAATGAAGAAAATATTAAGAGTAATAAAAACAGATAGGCAAGTCATTTGGCCTGACCTTACTTCATTTTGATATAAAACGTAAAAACGCGTTTTTATAACATTCAAAGCGTGCGCGAATCACTCACAACCCCACAATGATCAATCTACAATGTATATTTGCTTAAAAAATAGTACAGTTAACATAAAAAGATAAAGAGAGACGGATAAGAGATGAATACTATTAGTTCTAAGATAGTTTTAAGAGGCGATTCGCGTTTGACATGCTGACGGTGAGAATACCGAACCAACCATATTTTAAAATACACAGAGAAAGAGGACGGCGCAGCTTGCCCGGACACAAATCAAATTTTTTTAGTTGTTATTTTCTTAAAGCCGTTAGCATTTTTAATACAAACGACAAATGGCTGCGGGGGGCCGAGCGATTTTTTCCAGAACACGGCTAGATGTTACACATTTATTTTTCTATACATAATGTTCGAATTGCCACATTTCCGAGTATTTTAGATCCGTTTTCAAGTGTTCTTACTAGTAAAATCTGTTCGTCATTAAATTTATTGATAAACTATGTAAATTTCGTTTATCAACTTATAAAAAATTGACTATGAAAAACGGCAATGACACGACCATCGGAAAATGAAGCGATATTCGGAACAAGGAATCGTCGACAATTACAAATTTAGACGGGCGTGTCAGTCTTTTTTTCGAGATCTTTTTTGATGATGTCGTTGCGTCCGTTGACGTATTCGTTGCTTGCATGAATCGGATTCTCTTGTCCGTGCTGGCTTGGTGGCAATTTCTCGTCACTTATTATGTGCTGATCTTGCTCATCGTCCTCGTCGCTGCCAGGCGTGATGTGTGCTTCACTGCCGGCGCCCGCGCCCCCAGCGGCCTCCTCGTCACTTCTGCGTCTCGCTGTAACAAGCAACCCCACCATAATCGGTCAAAGGCAATTTCTTGGTTTTTTTTTCAACTAGTTTTGTCTTTTTACACAAACGAGGATTTCTTTTTAGGTTTTGCAAATTTACTGATAGCAAGCTTTAAGATTGTCGGAATATACTATATCTATTAATTCATTTTTATTGAATTATACTTATTTGTTTTAATATTCCGGCATTCTTATTTTTTCTATTTCTTAAGCTATGAAAATAAATTTTTATATTATTTGTCAATAAAAGAATAGTGCGGAAATGAAAATCCCAGAAATTGTGCTCTTAATGATTCACTTTTTTTATGATGCAAAAATTATAATTATGGATATATATTTATAAGCGTAAGTTTCATATCCATTAGTATTATTGGAAAGATATTTTCAAAATTAAAGAATAAATGTATCGTGATAATAAAGCGATAATTATTAAAAGGCATACATTAAATTTATCATTGCTGTATGAAATCAAATAAGCGAGTCTATGAAATGTAATGATGTTAAGTTTTAAAGGAGTGAACATCTAGAAGAAAGTTATGACATCCAAAGATAATGCCTTAAATATTGAATTAGTTAATTAAGTATTTGTGCTGTTTGAAATAATGTGAAAATCGACATATTATTGTAGAGACTAAAATACAATTATAGACTTGTTTATCAATTTATCAAATAAAAATTTAAATCGATTTCGCAAAAACTACAGAAGGGTACTTTTCATAAGTGTTTACTACATTATTTTTGATCTATAACAATGCATAATTTTTAAGTTTCAACTGATTATTTACTTTTGTCACCTTTAAAAATTAAAATTGAATTGATAGACTTGTTATGTTAATTATGAATAAAATTAGACAACTTTATTTGTTAAGACAAAAATGATAATTAATTATATTTGATTGAAATTTTAAAATTAAAATTAATTTTTTTAAATGAATTTGTCACGGTGAATTGGAAAAGTTTAAAAATATGTTTTCTTAATGTAAGGTGTGGTTCCAAAAAGGCAATTAACATTATATATATTTATATGATCTATTTACATTTGCCTTCGCCGATATGTAGCGGTTGCTTGTTCTATTAAATATATACGTGCCATTTTGATACATCATTAAGTACAGAATAGAAACAAATCATGCAAAAATATCATCAATAAATTAAGTTCATGCATAAGACAATTGATTTCAATTTTTTTGTTTCTCAAGAATTTGAATGGGCACGTTTGTTAAAAAAAATTGTATTCATCGATGAAAGATATCTATAAAATTTATGAACATTCAATGCATGACGCTATAACTACGGAATATGAGTTTTTACTTTTTGACATTTACATGTAATAATTACATTTAAAAATATAATGGTAAATTTTAGAAGAGTTTAATCAACTATTAATACAGATCTTCAATGTTAATGTTTTGAATAAAGTAAAAAAGAATTATAAAGTATGTTTAAAATAACTTTCTAATAAATAATGATATTATGTTGTATGACTCAATTAAGCCTGAATTGGAATTGGTCTACAAATTTTTAATTTGAATAAGCAAGTTTAAAATAATTTGTAAATGCAATTCTTTCAGTTTAATTCAAGTTTTCCATAACTAGCGAACTCAGAGTGGAATAATGCAAAATTATTACTGATTGTTACAGAACGTCTAATAAATAATTCATATACAAATAAACTTGTTTGGAAAAATACTTAAGGCTCATATAATTATCAAGATTCAAGTCCAAGAAATCTAGGGTTCTTTATTCATTAATTCATTAAATTTAAAAGTTTCAAAAGACAAAATGTATAGTGAGCTTTAAGCATCTTTTATAACAAAATACGCAGCGAAATTTTTTGGGGAATAATAAAAAATTGGATGATGCTTTATCTGAAGTAACTGATTATCTCAGCAACTTACCCCTGGCCAATAACATGTCTTAAAACATGAAATTGCATGTTTAATGTTGACGTGTTTCTTGATATTTTACTTGGCTTGACTCGCATGCTGTCCGAAGAGTAGCAGCGAAACATACAAGACAATTGACACAAACGATTTAATGTCAGATGTTTACTTATAAATAATCATATGTATCTTTAAAATATTTGGATAAATTATAACATCAATATTCGTAAAAAATTTAGGTCGTTCAATTATCGTTTACTCTTGACATTAAATAATTTAGTTCTAATATTCTTAGACATTATGATTTACAGATATTCTTATTGTAGGTATGTACATGATTTCGTTTCGTGATCTAATTATGCTTTTGTGCCTGAGAAAATATTATTGAAAGCATAATAACAAATACTAAACAGCTGTTATAAAATATTTGCCAACTACACCCGTAACCGTATTGTGTATCTACACGAGTTTATCACTCTTTTGAAAATAATTGAATATTCAGATTTTGTTGCAACAGATAGAGATTCAAGTGAAATTTTTCTTACAAATTAAGCATAGTTTTCAAAATTTGATTACTTACCGGTAAAGCACCAACGACCAGTCATACGAGCAAATATAACCAGGAATACAGCAAGGGTTAGTACAAGAACTCCAAGAACGATTCCGATGATTGATCCAGCATCCATGTCGACTCCTAAAAATTTATTTAGGATATTAATAATTATTTATTACTTCAACAAATATTTCTCTCATTCATAGTTATTATAAACACACTAAAAACTCAAATGTAAACACATGCATGTAGTCGTCACGAAACATAAATAATACAAATAATTTTTTCTACAAATGTCGTTACTTTTTCTAATTGTTCCTAATTAAAAAAAAGAATCTGATAAACAAAATCTAAATTTAAAAATATCTATGTCTAATAAAAAATAAAAAAATGATTGGGTAAAAACATTTTCTAGAACAGTAACAAATTTATGTTGTTGACATTTACCTAGTGCGTGCATGTGTTCTGAGATCTTACCATAGAACTGATTGAATCGACTTAAAGCTCCTGAGTATGCATGAGGTGAAATAATGTTTTAATTAGAATATACTAGAAATCGGATCAGATAAAAAATTTAAATTACATTTCTGAGAGAACGCAAGGTTTCATCGTTCATTTAAAATTTATGATTAGGTGTATTTTGAAAACATCAAATTTTTGAATTTTATTAGTCAAAAACATTGAAAAGTGTTGAACAAAAAAGCAATTGATTGCTCGAAGTGTGGAAAAGATGAATAAAACAATGATGCTAAAGAAAAAAAGTACTATTACAATCATCAAGTATTGGCGAATAAAAGGACAAAATAATTACAATCACTCAATTATACGTTTTTGCTGGGAATGACGATCAAAAGTGTCAAGATCAAACGCGTAAAAGTGAAACATCATAAAATAGACAGAATATTATTACATTATATTTATATTACTTATACTCTCGATATCATTATGATTACTGACCTGCAGGTGGTTCAGAAGATGATGACAAACGAATTTTATAAATTTGCTTTCCTTCAACATTTATAGCTTCCAAGGTGTAAACGTTTTCAAAGTCTGACTTCTGCACGCTGTCAATTGTCAAAACTACGCTCCAATATCCACGTCCCTGAACACATTAACCGTTAATAATTATTGCAAAAACAGAATATTCATTGATAATTAATTAAAACATCTAGTATTCAATTACCAAATCAAAAGGAGAAGATGTTTGCAGGCGGTTGTTTGAATCATATTTGCTAGCAGGAATTTTCAAGTCTCCAACGTTCCAAATGAAATCAGGTTTAGGGTTGGCATGGACTGTAACGTTGATTTCACCACGACGGCCAATAGAGAAACCGAAACGTTCGATCGGTTGTTGAGGTTGTGGCTTGACTAAACATAAGGAAAATGATATAATTGAATTCAATGATTTATTTTTAGCAATTATTTTTTATGTTCAATATAAGAATCCTTCAAAATAAAAAATAAAATAAAAACTCACAGTATACTTCGATTTGTTTGCTAGTTTCAATAGGAGCCTCAAGTGCGATATGACTGGCAACGCAGCGAAGAGTTTTTCCGTTATCTTCCGGAGTGACGCTTCGAGATGCATTCAGCATGGACGGGTTAGCAACATCGACTGTGCGTCCAAGGATCATTGGTCTCTCATCGTAACCAATCTGTTCATTATCTGTAAAGCAGCAAAGACATCACGCATGATTTTCTTAGCTCAAGTTATCGTCAACGTTAGCGCTGGAACTGACAATACTTACCGAGATACAGAGATACATTCGCAGGAGGTCTGCCCTCATAAGCCATGCAGCTGATTTCCATCTTTCCACCAGCTTTGTAAACGCCATTGTTCCTGTCCAGACGAAGCACCGGGTATGATGGTGGTTCTGTGAAAAAGTTTCCGTATAAATTTCTTATAAATCCAAATGTATCTTTCTGTTATGCACGATGTATAACACAGCCAGACCATGCTACATTGCAAAACTTTAACCCATAAAGTATAATGTGACCTAAAAGGAGCCAAAATCTGATATTTGAATTTTAGCTTTAAAAATTTATTTCAAAAGCCCATTTCACTTTTCATATTCTTCTTGTTTAACTCAAAGTAAAAATTGTTAATCACGATAAATTAAGGAAAATATCTTAAAGTGATTTAAAATAAAAAGAAAACAAAATTTCACTTTAATAAAAACATGTACTTACTGGCAACGATAAGACGAACTTTGTTTGAGCTCTCGGTTTGACCAGTTTCGGGTGTCAGATAGCAGGTGACTTCTCCATCATGTTTATCTTGGATTGATGAAATTTTAATACCGCATTGGCCATTGGCAAAACCAGTGCCGTAGTAATTTATGACATTGTCAGACGGTAGATTCTCGCGCAAAACGAGGGTCGGTTCGCCTGGTATGACGAATCGGCAGAAGTGTATTGGCACAGCCGCTTTGCACAGAATCGTCTGACTCTGGCCGAGTATTACAGCCACTTGGTTGTCCGGCTCAATTTCAATCAAAAGAGGATTACTGACGTATGCTGAAAAACAAATGAGAGAAAAATATTAAAATAAGATCAGAAAATCAAGTCAGTTATTTATTTTATACTATGTTCAATGGTAATATATATTCTGGAAAAATTTTGCGGTCACACCTCAAAATTGATGTCTCCGACTTTAGTTAATAAATGCAACAACACTGCTGGTATAGAGACATTTGAGGAAGCGAGCAAGGCGTCCGTAAAGTGCAATAAGTCTAATAAGCTAGTTTCCTCTGTTGGTTGTCGAGGCGCTGACACAGGTATATTACACGGGCAAAGAAGGTAAATTATACCGAGCGGGGTGCGGTACAACCAGTGGCAGTGGCACACTGGTGTCGTTTCATAGCGTAGCGCGAGTAGACAGCCCGCGGAAGGCAAGATTTACGGGACAAAAAGGAGAGTTGATTAAACCATCCTCTATTCTTGCACGCACTTCTCTCTCTCTCTTCTTCCCTTCATATAATGCGAAAGCCCTGCACTTTTTCTCTCGCTATGAGTGGGTGTGTCAAGCCCTGGCGAATCTGACATTTGTAAAATTTATGCTTTTTTGCGCACTGCTGCTCAGTGTTTCTTAACTGTTTCTCGCGCTCGCCTGCGTGATAACGTCTTTGTGTTTAAAGGCTTTGAGCATATTATGGCCCTGCTTCGAGGTTATTATTTTTCTTGATCTAGCTTTTTTCTCTTTCTGAGCTTGAGATTTTTTTGCACTTTTCTTTCCAACCGATTATCTTTTAATAATTAATATTTATTTTAGGTAAAACGTTTGTTTTTTATGTAATCAATATGACAAATTAGCTTTTACTGCTCTTTTAATACTCAAATCAGCGAGTTAATAATCAATTTTTTTAAATTGATTCAAGTATTGATGTCTGACACGATTCAGTTTTTACTACTTAAACCGATAAATATAGAGTATAAACGAAATTTTTCATGACATGATAAAATTCATATTAAATAATATTTAGTAAAAGAGAAATTACTTGAATAACTTTTAACCTTATTATCCATATGGGTAAGGGAGCTGCATATCATTTCGTCACATACAAGCTATTTGTAGTCAAGGGCTAAAGTTTACTTTGATTGTTTCATCCACTCGTACAAATTTGATGCACCACTTCTCTCTATGAAACTTCATACTTTGGCTTAATTTTGTTCTTGTTATTACAACAATAAGGCATTTGTCTTACAGATGTAATCAATCTTACTTCAGCAACCTTGTACTTCATTTAATTGACTTTCTCTGTTATAGTTCTCAAGTATACGTCAGTTGAAACTATTACAGTATTTTTTAGTAAAATTTGAAAGTTAGCAAACGTTTTATAGATGCTAGCGGCAGTTACCAAATTGAATTCTCGTCAATATTTTGTGTTTATTTATCTAGTTTAACTAATATTGTAATTAATTAACTGAACTCGTTTATACAAATGACGCGTACGAAGTTGAAAAACTTTTTATTGCATATGGTGTTTGTATGTTACTTAGTTATACCAAGTCGTTAAAACTTTAGAAGCAAATCTAATTTCGGAAAAGCAACAGTTCAAACGGTTCGAGACAGGAGAAGTAAGTTCGGTCAATAATTCAGCTGCACCCGAGTTTCAAGTAGCAGATAATGCGCCTTGCGAGTCAAGAGAGAACACTAGGAACGAGTGAGAGAGAGCGAGAGCAACTCTCGGTGGAGAAGCAATAAAACGGACGTATATAGTGAAGCAAGGAAATCTTAGGTCGTGGTAACGCGTTTCGAATCGAGCACCTACAAGCACAATGTTACATGGGACTCAAAACTCGCTTGGTAATTCTCAGATCTTTCACCTCTCTCATACACAGCTCTCCGCAGAGATTAAGGGCCGGTTCTATACCGCTAAATCAACTCCTTCGAGAGATGTTGCCGAATTTGCCACTGAATTTTTCTTACGCGCGAATTTCTGGACTATAACAGATTTGAAAAAAAAAGATTTATAACGTTGAAAATAAACGAGAAATTTTTAACGCTTTTGTTTGAAAATAATCTCATAAATTTCAACTGATCATCGTTTAAAAAATGTCACCATTCCATGTTTAAATTTAATTTTCAAATTAAATTAAGGCATCTCATGAAAATAGTTAATAATAAAAAATTGAATTTACAAAATGATTAGATTTACTGATTCTGTTAGTCGTTTAATGTCTGCAACTGATGACGCAGATATAGCTGTGAGAGTTTAAATGGATTTAAGCTCCCCGATGATGACATTTAAATTGAGTTAAAGAAAGTATATTATCGCCATTAAGCATTGATAGGAATGGAACGTGCTTTAAATTTATCGATAACCTCATATTTTACAGAGTCTCCAGAGATATTTTTTTGAATAATATTAAGATTGAATGTACTTTTTTCCGAACACACAACATAAAAGAAACACAGTAACAAGAGACAAGTTTTTTGTATATAGAGCATTTCCTTTCATGGCATTTGAAAAGTTGAAAATTCAATGTAAATTTTATTTGCATACAAATCAATGATTTATCGTACAAAATTGTTCTTGCACACATCCTTTAAGTGAGTTCATACACACATACGTACATGTAGATATTTTTATGGCTCAAGTTATATTTCTCAATGCTATAGACCATCCCGTATGCGATTTAAGCCGATGATACGTGACGTGCCCAAAAAGCTTTGGGTCTTTCACGTTTTCAAGAAGTATAAAAATCACATCACTGAAAAATTATTGAAGAATAAATATCGAATTAGAAAGAAAAGTAGCGGAATTCAGTATTTTCTTTGAAATCAGTATGAAAAAATTATAGTTCAGAATTCTTTTTCTAAGTAGATCATGAATCGTAATTAAGCTCAAGAGAGTCACTTTACACCGATGCAGTTTAACAATGCTCCGGTGATGATTTTTTTTTACTCGGTAATATATATATCAGTGGCACAAGTACCACTTGGCTTTTGCAGTGACGCTGCGGTCGGAGTCATCCCTGAAGAACCATCCATTAGATGCTAAAATAAGACTAGATAGAACAACGAGCAGTGGTGCTACTGGCGATGAGATTACTTTGCGCAAAGTTCTTCGTCTCTTAGAGCTCTTGTGGAAAAAGTGTAGAGAAAAAATCGTAGCGAATTCAGATGAAACTGAGGTAGGAAACTTGTACAAGCTTATGATTAAAGAATGCCGCAGCCAAAAGCAACGAAAATCATCGGAATATAAGGGTTTTATAGACTTCTTCCATATTTTCAGATAACTATTCAGTTAGAAACATCATTTCGTAAGAATTATTTGATACTTTATAATAACCGGGTCTTTTTTATTCTACTAAAAAAAACCGGAAGTCAAAGATTTCATAGCCCGGACCCATTCCAAGACACTCGTATCGAAGTCGTGAGGTTCTACTTTATCAAGTAATAAATTGCACCTTGTGAATTTCATTCTCTCCAAGAACAACTTTTTGAATGAACTTGCACGGGTATAAAAGTTTTAAGAGTTTTCCGTCTTGATTAATTCCTTTTATATATATAACAGGCTCTATATAGTTATATTTGACAAGTTTAAGTGCAATTTTCAGTGCGACCAGTAATTAATCTTATTTTTAAAAATCATGTGATGTGTACGCAAAAACAAGCATTAAATATGAAAGTTTACTTTTTCGCCAAACTAAAATATAATCCATTTGCAAAAATCATCAGCATAAAGTAGGAGTTTTGCGCTTGGCCCCACGTATCTTTCGGCGCAAGTTTCAAATCTCCAGCTGTTAAATGCGAAACGTATAGCCGAGTAGTTGCATTACTTTCAACTGCCTCATAAAATTTCGTCGCCCGCTAGCTAGCATGTGTATTTCATAAAAAAGCTTTCGCCCTAGAAAGGTTTAGCGTATAGTCATTTGCATAGTTTATTCTCGTGAAACTCTTCTTTATTACACCACTGCGAAGAATTTTAAAGTTCATCATACGAATTATTCATTCGGTTAAAAAGTTGTCCCAAATCATCCTAATCTAAAGAGATGTTTTACAAATTCATATGGCATAACTCTAAGGTACAAAAGCTTTAAAATTTCAAAATGTGAAAATTTGAATAATGAAATATCGTATTTTTGTAAGTGAAACATTTTAAATTTTCATGCAACAGTTAAAATTTAATTAAAATTTTTAATTAACACTTGGATTTAATTGTTTCCCACTCCTTTTGATAAATTCCATGGAGATCTGATTGAATTTGTAAATGACTTAAATCTATAGCAATGAATTTCTATTTCATGAAGTGTCATGTGCAGGTATTTGTAATTATCGATTTGAATCTTCATAATTCATTTCTAAGAATTAATTATAAATTAATTGAATTGGTCAAAACGTTTGTTTGTCAGTGAATTTTTGCCTGTTCTTTTCCCTTGAGAATAAAAACTATTGACTTTTTTGATGATTTTTAATGATAATTCTAATATGTAAGCTTATTTTTATTACAGATTAAATCGTAATGCAGTGTAAATTAACCGTTTATACGAGTTGCACTTGACTTTATAAATAAAATAAGACTAATAAAGCATGCAGTTTAATCTCTACGTTGCTTCATTGTCGATCGTTAAAATAGGCGAACTGAAAGCAGCTTATTTCGTTCTTCAGATGCGTGTACCTTGCGAGATATTGTCTCGGGCCACTGCAATAAAGCTCGTTATGAGAGCACTACTAGCGCGATATACGCAAGGTACGCAACGCAAGCTTTACATTAAATCTATGATGCTTTGTTGCACGTAATCATACTTGGAAATGTACTTCAAAATCTTGACGGTATGTCAAAGTCTTAGATAAAAATAAGATCGATTTAATAAATTAATAAGAGAAAAATACTTAAAAACATAACATAACATTGTTTGTGTTGTTTTACGCGGCAACAGAACTCAATAAACAATAACAGAGACTATAGCGGCAATGAACGTCTCTCGATCCGCATCAAACAGGAGCTGTTAGTACGTCTCCAGCTCGTTACGTTCGGATATATATGCAGAGGGTTGTATGCATATACGTG